TCCTCCACCAGCCTTGTGTGGCTCTCCATACACAGTTCAGTGCGATGTCAGTCTTTCCACTGCTTTGGACAAGAGATGGTCAGCGATAGTGTCCCCGAAAGGCATGTAAGTCTTCCATCCTCCACTGCAAGGGCCAGTGGAATTGGCTCTTTGGAAGTACAGAGAAGTAATCTTATGCAGTAGCATAATTAGAGGGAAAAAGGGGGGTGAGTGGGATACTGGCCCCAATTGCCAAGTTAGGAGTGGCAGAACGGTGCCCCAACCTCCATGGAGTCTGTGCCTCATCAGCAGAAGCAACCACATGTTGTTGCTGCAGCAGCTAGGTGCATGATGCTACTCTGCTGCTATAGGAAAGGTATGCGAACTGTGCTATGGCAGTAGCAGCTGGGGGCTGTTTTTGAGTCCCCAGAGTAGGTAAAATCCCTCCAAGCTCTTGGCAGCCACTCCCTTTTCGCACTCAGCAGCACCTCCCTCCTGTCCCATCATCTCGCCAGCTCTTGCCCAGCATTTGCTCAGAATACAAACCCTGTTTATTATGCCTCTGACCACATGCCTACTGAATTAACTTGAAGGAGATTATACAACTCACCTGAGAACTTTCCTTTTACTGCCTGGTATGTACCAAAGTCTGACTTCAAACTCAAATAATGAGGCACTAATTGTGCCACTCTGGAAAGGCCCCCCTCAGTGTTATATAACTTCCCTCATTAAAGACGTCTGTGCTGTTTTCCTCCTAACTCTAGCTCCTCTGTTGACAAAATAAGCCCCACACATATGCTTCTGCTGAGTGCACCTGAAATCACCAATTCAGCAGAATTTAGAGCAGCCCTGAATGAGCTCGCCAGGCCCTTTTTTGTCTTTCAAGTATCCAGAAGCATCCCAGGAGGAGACAGGGGCACTCCTACTCCAAGCCACTTTTAGCCACTCTCAAGCCATCTACACTACCTAATTGCTGTTCTCTTGTGTGCCCCAGTGAGAGTGAGCGAGTCAGGCTTATTTTTTTAGCAGTGGAAGAAATGTAGATATGGCCTATTTGGCAAGATGGATGTCACAAATATTCTCCTCAGAGCAGACGCAATAGTATCTGAGCACCTGACTGTAAGATCATTGTTTGTGTTTGGGATGATTGCTGGTTTTGTGGAAGTAAGTGTGGTGGTTGTAACTATTAAATCTGTGGGGAAAATCAATAAGTGAGTCCAGCTGTTCAGTCTAGATAACACAAAAGTCATCTATGTAATGCAAGCATGTCAGGCAATAGTTATGTATGTCTGTTTCGATACTAGGTCTGTTAGCAAGTTTAATGTGTTTCAGTAGTACAAGCTGTTCATTTCAGTGTCCAGTGTCATAAAACAGGCAGGGCTCTGTTTCCAAAATATTCAGTTTTTGTACGTGTAACATGTAGTAATCAGGAATCATAAGCCAAAGCTACTGAACATGGCAGAAACATCATAGGGCAACTCCACACCATGAGCAATGGTAGCATGGCCAGCTGCCAGCTGTGGTGGTAGCTAGTTTTTGCGTGCCCCTCTGCAAAGGCTGCTGCTGCAGTTACCTCCTCTCAGTTACACCAGTAGAACATGGAATCAGCCTTGCACATCTCTATAAACAATGCAGGTGACTACATCTAGGTAACCAGATCTCTGCTTGCAGAAACTGGTAGAGAATAATCAGTATTACCAAGTGAGTGGCAGAAGTGTCCTTTCCATTGAAACAGTTTGTGGTATGATTAGCTGCATGAAGGGTACTGCAGCATGGTGTGAGTGGTTTATCTCTCAAAACCCTTTCTTTTAGCCATATCTATCTGAAAACAAATAAGGTAACGAAAAGGTTTTGCAAGGTGTCAACAGCAGGTGGGTATTCTGTATCCCAGAAATGTTTCATTGGTATTCTGTGTGCTGGGGGTCAAGGCAGGGAATGCTAGAGAAAGGGAGTCTTTGTAAAGCACAGAGTGCTGCTTGCTACAGGAGTGCTGTAGATTGCTTTTCATCACTGGACAAGTCTTTTGGAAGCAAATTGAGATTTGTAATGTGTAAGTGAGTTTTGTAGCTGGCCTAATAACCTCTCTGCCATTGCAGTAGTGGAGCACTGACAGTGCCCTGGTTGACTTCTGCTTTTTACCTGTGGCATGTTGGCAGGTGGTTTTGGTTTTGTTTTCTTAAAGTGATTTGGCACTGTCATGTGTGAGGGTTCAGAGAGGATGATTTTAGGACTTTTTGGAAAAATGGTTGCCTGCAAATGCAGGGAATTGGACTCAGTGGCCTGGGAAGCCCCGTCTAATTTTATGTGCCTATGCTTACAGGGCTGCCTACTGTTCCCAGACTCCAGCCCCATGGTAATGTCAACCATTTTGTGGTAGTACATTCAAAGGGGCAGTGATTCTGAAAATAACTAACATCTCTAATAGAGTCACAGTGAGCAGAGGAGAAATCAGTGGGGCTACTTCTCAAAAGATAACTGAACTCTGGGGTATGGAGCAGTAGCATTGATGTTCTGGCTTTGCATTTGACAGAGTAGTTTAGGTAGCAAGAAATGTTCTCCCTGGCTAGCTGTTCTTTTATGCAGGGATGAATGTACTCATTGGGAGTCCTTATACTTCTCGTTAGCTGTTTCTTCCAAAATCTGCTTCTGCTTATTCTGTCAAAGCTGTAACTCTGTGCATAAAGTTAAGACATTTTTTCTGTGTCTGATCTGAATCAGAAAATTATCCCTCGGAGTTTCTAAGGTATCTGTCATCCACATCCCAATATTAATAATAATACTAAGCACTTATACAGAGCAGTCTATGAAAACAGTAGCACCAATGTTAATTGGTCCCAGTGACAAAAGTGCCTTAGGAGGCCTATGAGCACTGCTTCTGTTTTACAGACAGAAAAAATTGGGCACAGATATGATAAGACCTACCTAACAACACACTGTTGTGGCCTGGAGTGGGCTTTAGGACTTCTCAAGACTACCCTGTGGATTTAAGGCCCTCATTGGTTTAATACAGAGAGCAAGCTCCGAGTGCTGGAAGCCACTGTGTTCTCCTTTTCCTGACTCTTTTTGACCATCTTTATTTCTCTCCTTATCTCTTTATTCCTGCCAGGCTGGCTACACACTCTCTGGATTCCTGCCTCTCAGTAGTTTGTTGAATATAAGAAATGATGTTGTGGTTGCAGTCCAATTCCTAGGCCTGTGCGAGTAGGGAGCTATCCGGAGCTCCGGACCGGGTTCCCACTTCAATCCGGCCGAAGCGTCCCCAAAGCTTTGGAGTTGCCTCAGAGATCTGGCCATAGGGTATAATGGGGAATCAATGAAATATCCATAATGTTGTTGTTTTTTGTCTGATTTGGATGAAACCTGCAAAGGTGGTATCCCCTGCTGAAAGCATGAAGCCTGCCAAGTTTCAAGAAGATTGATGCAGGGGTTTGGGGGGAACTGCACCCCAAATTCTTGAAAGCAAAACTCATGTCACATGTATGTGTTATACCACAGAGGGGTGAAAACTGCAGGGGTGGTAGCCCCTGGTGAGGCCACAAAACCTGCTAAGCTTATCTAGTGAGCTCCTGGAGCCCCATTTGTCCTATAGGCAGCATATCAGGTGGCCACAGCGTCTCTAGGCAATTCTTTTCTGCAGGCTCCTTCCCCTGGCTGCTGCCAGAGAACTAACCCCTCTTGGCCTCAGGCCTGGGGTTTATATATGCCCAGGGCCCTGCCTTCTTCCAGTAAACTGACCAGGTGCAGCTGCAGTCTAATTCCCTGGTTAGTCTGCTGTCATAGTAACCTACACCTGTGGGGTTTCTGCCTGGCTCCTAGGGCCCTCTCCCTAGGCAGTTTCTGGTCTTAAAAGAGCAGGCACTTTAGTGCCCTGCGACACCCAGGACGGAGTGTGTCTACATAACCACAGACTGTTCAGTGTGCACTGGTGATGGATGGGACTAGTACCAACTGGCTTCCCACCTGTTACTTCTGCCTCTGTTGTATGCAGGGGATGGGGGAGGAAAGTCAGAAAGGGTTTACAAAATCAGATGGCAGCTCAGTTTCACTGGATGTGTAGATGTTTTCTATATCACCTCCAATACAGGCCCATGGATTCTAGGAGGGCACCACTTATGACCCTTCCTCAGATGCCTTGCCATG